TTCTAGGCGTAACGTGGCCACGTCACGTGGTGGTCAGCGAATTCCCTGTAACGTAAATCAGACCGAAATCCTGATCCTCCGGGCGCGTCACGCACCACACATCATAATGGCCGTCTTGTTTGAGCGGTTTCAGTTGTTCTGTGTTCGTGTGCTGGTTATTCTCTCTGTTTTAGTCTCTGACTACATCATTAACCCCTATCGGATTTGTTTCTGACGTTTTATTGACACAGAATAAGCAATATGAATATATGGAGAATATTGCGCATCCAAATTGGATTGTCACTGTAAGTGACATTCGACATCGAAGCGAAATTTTCAACTGTCCGTGAATCGCAAACTCCAATAGCAAAAATGAAGGTCGTTCTTACAAACCGCTTCAGATAAACTGATCCATAGTAAAACGTTTTTCTTGTATCGATTTCCGAGAGGGAATTTCCATCAAATTCTTTTACATCTGTATCGTCACTCGATTGTTAGCTCGCAAATCCGAGTCCAATGTTCTCAACCATTATCAACGGCAAGACGGGATAACCTATTTGCATTCTGTAGCAATAGCTTCCCATCCACTCAGAGCCCCCTTAATCAATGTTTACTGCGGTCAAGGCGGACGCACACCGGGGTGTCGTGGTAATTCACAATTCTTTTACTAANAACTGAATGTTCAGATATGAATGGCATCGTTGTGGTGATGTTGAACACTAAAATCCATAGGTCTACTACTGATGCTGGGCTGGCAAATCATAATAGAATAAAGCAAACATTATTTGTTGTGAAAAAAGATGTTCTCAGTATTCAGATAGCGCATTGCTTATACACATTTGAAATACATCCTCCAATCATTTGCGGGAGATTTAGAAGTTAACACGGAAGCGATTCTGTGCGATTTGGGAATTCTAATCACTCTGATCACGTAGTGGCCAGACACAACCATCGCAGCAGAGTACCGGCTAAAAGATTTAGCAGTGATGAATAAATATTTTAAATGCTGTTTCTGGGTCAATCCTGTGTCCACTGTCGCCCAAATGTTGCAGGATTGAGCTGTTCAAGCTTCTCATTGTTCCTTTTTGAAGAGCGGCCGGATAATGTTCAGATATTCTCTTGGACAGACACCTCGTTGTGTCCCATATAACGAGCACCGCAAATGCATGTGAACTGACATAGAATAAAAGATTGGGACTGGTGAGGCAATTTATCCTTCAGCTGTTCAACAATGAACGGCTTAGTTCTCGATGAAAGTCTTAAATGCACTGCGGGAAAACAGTTGGCACTAGTTTTGGATAGCCGATATTCCAGGGTTTCTAATGCTTTTTCATTGTTTGGTTTTGATTCCATATATTGTCGAACAAACGCCTCTGGATATCAGTTCTTCCTGAGGATGTCTCTTATATAGGTCAGCTCTTCATTCAGGGCCCACGGACTACAAATTCTCCTTGCCCCATATGTTAAACAGTTCACTAAATTAATTTTGTATCTCAGCGGGACAAAACTTTGAAATTGTGTATACTGTCCCGCACACGTGCGTATACTGTTCTTCCAATATATCTATCATCAGTACAACGAAGACCAATGTCCAGAAAGACAAGAACGTTGTTTTTACTATCTCCATTGTAAATTGTATACTCGGATGAGCGTCGCTAAATATTTTAAGTAACTTATTAAAGTCCGTTCTGGATTTACAGATGATAAACGTATCATTCATATATCTGGTGTATAGATCTAGACTATCAATTGTGTTCCTCAGTGGTCCATCTTCGAGCTTCGCTAAAAATATATCTGTCAGGAGTGGGCCAAGCGGTGGTCCCACTGCTATACCATCCTTCTGTCGATAGTACTTTTGATTGTACAAAAGCTGTACGTTTAAATTATATCCTTTGCTTTGGCCTCGTGACTGAATTTGCCATCATCAGCAAGTAAAGCCTTCAACTGGTTGTCATATTCAGACCGGTCCAACACCATAAAACTCTGATTTTTGGTCAATTCTTTGATGGTGTCTCTGTGATGTCTCGTCAATATCCCCTTTTTCCTAGATTTTCTTTTCTTTATACTTCTGACAATAATGAACCACTGAGGATTTTAGGTTATCTACACTAGCCTATAATGCAAGTACGAGGTCATGAAATGGGCTCATCAAAGTATCGAACTGTTTATCAACCTCTACTTGATTATTACAAGAATTCAGCGTGCAAAACTTAAGTCCGAGCGACAGTTCCTCAGTTTTTAACTTACTGAGTTTAACGGATGAATGGTTGTGTACTTCAGTCTCTCGGTTCTCAGGGAATTTCGACCGGGGTGCTCTGGTTTCGAGACTGTTTATAAACTTTGCTTTTATTCTCCTCCACGGCCTTGGAACAAACAGAACTGGCACAGTCTTTAAACCTTCCTTGGTAGCATTGTTGTAGTTCCTTAATCGCGTTTTTGTACTTGGAGATCATTCATTCCATTCCATTAAAGCTACATTGAGCTATGTCCAGTTGGTTAAATTCGTGATGTCTGAGAGATCCGTTGTTTGATTTCATACGCTTTATAAGCAACGCTGTTCAATAGGTCGTCGAGTAACGATCATTTTGTTCCCACTCCATCATAAAATTCACGCTAGTCTTCTTTTCTGCGAACTTGATGTTGAACTTCAAGTCGTTGTTGAGGTCTTTTAACGCCATAGACTGGTCGCTTTGTTTTTGTTCTTTTTAATTTATTCACCTTTCAGTGTCTGCACGGAATGAGTTAAACGAGCGTGGCGGCTGGGGAGAGTTTGTGGCCGTGGGTATCCAGTGCGAACGGTGCCATCTTTGGTACCATAAACGCTGTAGTAAGCTGATAAAGAAGTTCTGCGACCTATACACGGTACATAGTTCCCTGCGATGGATCTGTGTCCACTGTATAGCGTTGATAGGGGAATGCTCACACATCTCCACGGTCAAAGTGGCGGGCAACACCAGCTAGCCAGATCAGCCTAAGGAGACAAGACCCCGGGTGCCCAAAAGAAAGAACGAAGGCCGTAAGGAAAAACGGAAA